AAAAAAAAAAAAAAAAAAAAAAAACAAGACCCAAATAATTAGGGCTCTCAATACTTACTTGCCATCTCCATGGATTGAAATGGTAAGGACTTTCAAAGTGTTCTTCATCAACATGAACTGACCTAAAATATACAAGAACACACCATCCTTTAGGTATTAGATACCCTTTTATCTCGACGTCCTTCACCGCCTTTCTCATCACTCCGGTTATTATATTTCCCATCCTCAACGTCTCTGTTATGACCTAAATAGTGCAAGGATTAAAACACGACGATTTATTCGATACGATAATGTCTAATTTGAGCGAAACGAGCTTAACGGGTACCCTTACATTTTGTGTAAATGGTAATGACAAGTAATCAGTCCACTTCAATGGCTCTCCAAGCTGGGTTTTCAGTCTTTTCAATTCCATGTTTTCTTCCTGCCCATGAAAAGTTTTAGAGAATATTCTAATATTTTAAATTTATTGGATTTTTTTTTTGAATTATCCTTATAAGACAAAAAGAAAATAATTGACGGGCACATTCTACGTTCATGAATATATCTCTGTTTTTCATGATCTTTTAATTATTTTCTCAAGTTTATTATTATTTTTTAAAAATATTTTGTGAAAATAAGAATATTTTGAAAAAGAAAAAAAAAATAAAATAAAAGGGTATCATTATAATTATTGGAGAGTGAAGAGAGAGAGGACGGCACGTCTATTAAGACCGATAATACCATCTCAAAGCTCGTTAACCTCGATAAAAACAAAAAACACGTCTGTATTTCATTTTGATGGTTCTATTTCGACCTCTAAACTTTTAAGGTATCTATTTTAAAAGTTTAGGGACTAAAATGAAACAAATTTAAGAATTCAGATACCCAAATGATATTTAACTAAAAATACAATATAGAAAGACGTTAAGAAAATAAAGGACGAGAGGATGTGATACACATACCACTAATCGTTGAAGAGCTAACGGGCAATCGGAAAGGTATTTTATGGCCAAAGTGATAAGGATCGGGACTGAATCTTGGCCGGGAATCATCATATCAATGATATTATCTGCTATGAGTTCATCAGTAACTTGGTGGCTTCCATCATTCAGCAAGATATCCACAACATCATTTGGGACTCTATTATTACTCAAATTCTCATTCATCTTCTTTCTTTTACCTTCTATTATTTCTTCCACTAACTTAACCATTTTCCTTTTGGCCTGAAAAATTTTGTCACAAAAACAAGAACACAAAAACACCAATTGTTTGATTCTCTCTTTTGTTGTTGTTTTCATCATATGACAACACAAATTTTTAAGACATAAAATGTCGAAAAAAACATGAACTTGCCTGTAATGATCTGTAAAGTGTGGTTCCTGGGATGTTTATTGGGAAAGCCATAATCCCAGCAATGAATTGGTTGAATTGTTTCTTCAGAAATTCCATTTCTTCACCGCCCTCTAAACTCATCAATGTCTTTACTAGTACTTCAAATGCAATCTGAAGAAATCAAATATACAAAAAATTAAAAAGATTTTGACTCATGATGATTGTCAATGTGAGTTCTTGGACAATATGATTCTAACAACAATTATTACCAACACCCATGTTAAACATATTCTTAATACTTTGCTTTGCTCGTTCAGCCGCTGAAAGCAGATAGTGTAAGATCCTACATCAGTTGGGGAAAAAAACGAAGTATTCTTTACAAGGATGTGGAAACTTCTCCCTAGTAGATGCGTTTTAAAAAAATTTGAAGGGAAGCCCAAAAGGGAAAGCCCAGGACAATATTTGCTAGCTCGTTAAGCTTAAGCACATAGTGTGAGATCCCACGTCGGTTGGGGAAGAAAACAAAGCATTTTTTATAAGGGCATGAAAACATCTCCCTAATAGACGTGTTTTAAAAACCTTGAGGGGAAGCCCGAAAAGGAAAACGCAAAGAGGACAATATCTACTAGCCTTTAAAGCTTAAACAGATAGTGTGAGATCCCACGTTGGTTGGGGAAAAAAACGAAGCATTTTTTATAAGGGTATAGAAACCTCTCTCTAGTAAACGCGTTTTAAAAACCTTGAGGGAAAATCCGAAAGAGGATAATATCTGCTCGCGGTGGGCTAGGACCGTTACAATAGATTACGAGAAATTCAACGAAACTGAGTAGAGATCGAGAGAGAAAAGAGGTACATTTTTGGCTTCATCTTGTATATGGATAGGATTGTGTTGAGAAGAACTCCAAGTAGACATGGATTTTTGAAGAAATTTCTGCATATCAATGGTTAATTGAGCTTTAAGATGAGCTGACTTGAAGAATGCTCCAATAAGGCCATGAATTCTTCTATGCAAAGGGCCATTAATAAGCAAAATAGAAGCTTTTCCCATCAAATCCGTCACAGATTTTGGATAAGACGTCACAAAAGCCTTCGCATCACTTTGTAGAACAAATCTGTTAACTTCAGCATCAGTTGACACAATTGTTGGACTTCCAAATAAATGGGATTTGAAAACCTTCCCATATCTATATAAAAAAAAAAAAAAAAAAAAAAAAAAAAAAAAAAAAAAA